ATTAAAAAACATAAATACTAATTTTACTGAAGGGAATTTTAAACGCAAATTTTTTCCATTTAAAAAATTTTCAAAACAAGCACACTTTGTATGAAAAAATATCAAAATATTCCTACGTCGGCGAAGGTCAAAAGCGGAAAGTTAAAGAAGAATTGCTGGCAACATTGCCACATTGTCACACTGGTAAATAAATGGCAACGTCAGCCAATGAAACAAGTACTTCAAAGGAATATTCACACAGGATAATAATGTCATTTACCTTTAAACAACATAAAGGGCATAAACAAATAACAAATGAACAGCCAGAAGACGGCGCTGGAACGCGAAGGAACAAAGGATAAAGAGGATAAATATATGTATATGTGTGAGTGTTTGCAAATGTATGTGACTGCCAACGAGTGGGTCGGAATGTTAAGTACTTCAGCACAAAAATATGCATACATATACATATATATGTGTGAGATATGCTTGTATGTGTATATTTGTTTATGCATGTTTATATGTGGCTTAATTTTGCCCGCAAAAGTATGCCTCGTTTTTATGTGTGCGTGCGTAAGTGCAAAAGCATCACGAGTAAAAATATATGAGCTTGACTGCATGAACCTGAATTTCTATGCACTTAACTACACAAATACATGCATACATGCACATATATATGCAAAACTGCATATTTTTAGACGTGCAACATTTCCATATCGGCACTTTTCTATATAAGCAAATACTTGGCATAGTATATAAATTATGAGCTGAAATTCCCCGTTGTACAGCGTAGCTAGACACAATTATTTAGCGCAAAAATGGCAACAACAGCAAAAACCGAACATTTATAAGAGTGTGTGTGTGTGTGTTTGGCAAAGGCAGTGAACAGACATCAAAGTGCAACAAACTGGAACGTCACAAGTGGCATGCAAACTAGCAAAAATCTAACGCATTAAAAGGCGATGAGAGGTAGAAGAAGAGGAGGAGAAGGGGCAAGCAAACGTAGTGGGGGAGAGGGTGGCTGACACATAGAAGTCGCTTAATGACAGAGCGAGCGTAGCAACATTATTGACAAGCTAGCGGCGGCAGAGGCAGCAGAGTTGTGGCAGTGGCAGGCGTAAGTGCACGTGAGTGTGTCTGTACACACATTTGCTAGCGTATGTGTGCCTTTACACCAAGGCAGCAAAAAGCGCACTTTCAAATGACATGCCGACATGTTGTTGCATGTTTCATACTTACACGCACGTCAAACGTGCCGACGACTAAAAAAACAATAACAACACAGAAGACGTACACATGAATACGCGCTTTGACATGCCAATGGACGGACATATGGCCCGTTTTCGTCACACACATAATATTTTTTCTTATTGTTATTATTGCTGTGCAGACAATTGTCCAACGCTTTCTGACTGCTCCAGCCAGGCACTTTGAACAAACAAAAAGTGAAAAACGAATTTGAAAAAAATTTTGAAATTCACCACTGCGCTTTTCTCCTTCGATTTCTATTAGTTTATGTTGCATGTGGCACGCATGCGCGTAGGCGTCTCGTCAACAAATACGCACGTAGAGAAAATTCTATTGATATTGAATGCTGAAAAGAGCAAGCCACAAGCGAGAACGCTGCTAATAAAAACTAAACACACCCAGTGGGAGACTTCGTTTACGCTCAAGCGTGACAAAGTGCAGTCACACACACACACATATGCGCGCGCTCATAAACGCAGAAATACAGTTGCTCGCAAACGCTCTTCGCGTAGCTACAAGTTTTTCACATGCCCACCCACACACCTGTACACACACATATGCAAGCAAACCACAACCAATGCAAGGCGCCTCGCCCAGCGCTTCCTTCCAGTACCGCCGTGTCGCCGCCACATGCGCGCTCTCCATAAGCGCTCAAACAATGGGAGCGCGCGCGCTTGTTCACCTTGAAATGGCAGCCAAATAGTTTGAAGAAAGCGTCGCTCACTCACAAACACTATGCATGCCGCGCGCGCCGCCCTCGCACTCGCGGTATCACAGCCGCTCACTTGAAACAGAATTAAATGAAATTAAAGTTAACAATGCATGTGTGTGTGTGGGTGTTTGAGTGCGCGCGTTTGTTTGCGCTGCATAGAAATTGCACCGTGTGAAGGATTGTAAAGGTGTATGCGTTGCGTGTGTGTGTTGCTGTTGCTGTTGCTATTCGCTGTTGCTGCGCCGCGCTGCTTTGGACTGGGATCAAAGTTGAATTGCTTCTATTTATAGTCGCATATGTTTTTCTATTGCCAGCGCAATGCTTGGCTATTTATAATTCTACATTTTATTGCTTTTTGTTTTTTTATTGTTTTATAATTAATATCGAGCTAGTGTTTATTGACTTATTGTGCGTTCAAGCGATGCACTCTGGAAATAAAGAAGGCTTACTGATAATGCAATCGACAGCCTACAGAGTGTTAATAAAGTCGAACCAATTTTTCATCATGAAAATCATTGCGGTTAATTCAATATTATTCGCGCAGTATCTGAACTTTAAAGTCATAATTAGCATACTTTTAGGCTTTGACACATTTTCAAAATCCTTTCAAAGCTCCTAATTTTAAAATTAACTCGAAGCTAATAAATAGCTTACATAATTTTCATATATATGAGTACGTAAAGGGTGATTCATTTCGAGGTTCTCTAATTTATTTTTCAAATTTAAGGGAGAGTGCTTATTATCGTTCGATAGAACATTCTTTGGCATTTATTTTCTCAGAATTATCTCTTTCAAATAGTGGCCGCGGCTATGTCTTAGACGGTCCATCCGTTGAGTCTAATTTCCGACGACTCTTTTGAGCAATTCGATGGGCAAGTGGCGAATGACATGCGCCATATTTTGCTCAAAGACCTAAATCGAAGCGGGATTGTCTTCATAGATTTTAGACTTTACATATCCCCCATAGGAAAAAGTCTAACGGTGTAATACTCAATCCACAATCCACGGGCCCAAAATATGAAATTAATGCGGAGGGTGGGAAGTGGCACAGTTCTGTTGAAACCAAGTGTCGCCGAGATCACGAGCTTCAATTTCCTTTATGAAGTCGGTTATCATGGCGCGATTACGGTCGTAGTTTACGGTAACGTTTTCACCGGTTTCATTTTTGAAGAAATACATAGCCATTGAGCCAGAAATGAGCTTCAACGCTGAACAATATTTGGTTCGAAAACGTCGGATCTTTTTGGAACTTTTGTAAATCACACACTATAGAGGATAGCGATGTTCAGTTCTTGCACAAGCTGTTTTTTTTTTTTTTTGTACGCTTTCGAACTAAGACCTCGACGTAAAATGTGCGAAGCCGTTCCATATGTTAATCCGTGTCCACACTGTCAGCTACACCTGATATACTGGTCTTTTTCGAAATGGCCGATATCGGATCACTATTTCATATAGCTATCATACAAACTGAAAGATCGGATTCACGTATTTGTATGAAAAACTTTTTTCTTTCACAAATTTATTTTTACGAAACTTGGCATGAGTTATTGTTTAAGACAATGGTGCACTCTCCGAAGAAATTGTATCGATCGGGTCACTATAGTGTATAGCTGCGATGCAAATTGACCGATATAAATTACTGTATGGAATGTTTATATATGTAAAGGGTATTACAGCTACGACGCATCTGAGGCTAAAGTTTTTGCTTCTCTATAATCAGTTTTGTTAGATAAATACATAATGTAATATCATTTCTTAATTATTGCTAACATATTCTTATGTTTTCCTACCAAATTTCTGCTCACTTAATTAAAGAATTGTCGCTTCAAATTTAACCTACAAGTAATCTAACACCAGCTGTTTCAACCAATTTCAACAAAGCCGATAATAAATCAAAATGAAAACAGCGGAACCGGTGTTTTTCAACGCCAACGCCACACAGCGCCTGCAGCTATGCTACAAATATGTGAAAAGTGGGAGAGCAGAGTAGGTAACGCATATGTATTTGTAGGCAATCAAGAGTCGAATTAGAGTATGGAAACTAAAGTTTAGCAGCATAAAAAAATATATAATATTTTTAATAACAATTATTAATTTAATAATATTTTTCCATTAAAAAAAATTTTTTTTTGTTCAATAAGGATTTTTTAATTATTAATTTTTTAATTTTATTTTAGCTAATTTTTATTAATAAATATTTTCTGTTAAATAATATTATTTCGTATTAAATACAAAGTCTTTATAAAGTAATAATTCTCTTAATTAATATTTTTTGTTAAATAATTTTTTTAACAACTTTTTTACTCAAAATTTTTTTTTTAACAAAATAATAATTTTTTTTCTTTAAATATTGATTTTTTATTAATATTTTTTTAATCAAATAAAAAATGTTTATAAAAAATAATAATTTGCTTATAATTTATTGTTTTTTTTTTAAATTTTTACAAATAACTTTGACGATAAATTTCAAGCAATTAAAAATGTGGCAACTAGACGCTTACTATGCCAACGAAAGCTTAAGTGGAAGGGTGCGAAATGCAACACTGATGCTCCTGAGCCACTGACAAACACGCGCATAAACACAAATGCGTCTGTATTTGTGAGCGAACGCTCTTCTGCTGAATGTCCACTTATGCAACAACAACTGGCGCTCACGATTTGCGTTTGTTTGCATCTGATGCCTGTTTGCTGCTTGCTGCTGGCTACAACATTGTGGCAAGCTCACGCTGGCGCTATTGTTGTTATTGATGTTGCCACAGTTAGCGGTGTATCGTGTTGAGTTTTCTACTCGCGTACATTTCGGCTTTTGTCTATGAAAGAGGCTGACTGGCTTGGGCCGAAAGGTTGCCTGGCCTGTTTGGGTCGGCCCAACCACTTCGCCTCGCTTTAGTTTTGGTTTGGTTGAAAATCGATATGTACAATAAGCCTATATGTGTGTGTATGTGTGTTGGTAGCAGGAGTGCTACCAATTATGTACATATGTCCATAGCTAGTTAGTTGGCTAGTCAGTTTGGGTTAGTAGTTGAGTATTTAGACGGTTTTTGAGGCTTATTGTACCTACTTTGTATATGTTTACCAAATAGCTGCTGCTTGCGACTGTCACAGAAGTTAAGCGAGTGTTCTTTTGCACACAAGTATTTTATTTTATTATTTTAATTTAATTTTTATTTTGCTTTAATACTGCTGTGTTAAATTTTATTGCACAAGCTGGAGAATATATATTTTTGCTTCTGTGTAAATGGAAATATTTTTCACCACACTCGGCCACTACTAAGTAATATTTAATATTTTATACAATTTTTTTTTTTTTTTTTGTAATTTTTCACTAACCAACTTGCTGACTGACCATGTGTAGTGTCAGTCGCACTCACCGCACAAACATATGTATTGTATGTTTGTTGCTGTATATGTGTATGTATGTTGCATATTTTTCAACATTTGCGGCGGCTGGTTATACAATGACTTTCAGCTTTTAGCCACTGGTGAGCGTCGACGCTACCATTTTCACATGTACCGGAAATTGTCGCATAATTTTAAATGGATTTTTTCTTTGCCTTTTTTCTTAAACCACTCGCACTTAATTGCGTTACGTTACGTTTGCTTTTCACACACGTAATTGCTTTTACTACAAAAGACTAAGCACAGTGTTTGGCGAATTTAAAAAAAAATCTCAATTGGAAATTTTCAGCTTTTCCATACACCTTTTTTCGCTGCCTTTGCTTCTTCTGCTGCTTATTCGAACTGCTTACTACAACACAGCAGCAGAAAAGAACACTTTGACATAAACGCATATGCTTTATTCCGCGCACACACACTCACGCTAACACTAACACACCCAGCACTCTCTGCTGCTAAAACGTTATAGCCATTCAAGCGTTCGACAGTTGCTTCATGCCACACTACAAAAAGGTCCGGCTTAATGCTGATGTCTTGCTCAGCTCGACGCGTAACTGCAACTGGCCAGTGGTGAGCGAGCGCCAATGCGCCAGAGCAAGCAGTCGTGGCAACGCATTAAGCTGGCTACATGGCAGTGTGGTAGAACTAAGCGACATTACAAACCCATCGCCCCACGCACCCTCCACCACAGTCATCACTCACAAGCACAAACACACTTCAAAGCAAACATTCGTTCTCTCACTCTCTCTCGCGCTCACTGCACATGCGCCGTTTTCGTGTGGCCATAAGGACACTCTTGCACGCTTGCAACCAGCCGTTTCACTGAGTCACTGAGCGCCCTCGTACTTGGTCGTGTTCACACTTTGCATTGACATTTCCGTGAAGTGGCTTTACGTCAAAGTCTCGCAGTGTTGTTGTTGCTGTAGCTACTGTTGACCGCCGTAAGTGTCTGCCGTTCTTGTTGTTGTCGTGCGCGCATATGTATGCGTGTTGTTTGTTGCACTTAGTAGCAGGAATTCCCTCAATCAATTCATCACACGCACACATACCAGTGCAAGGTCCATGCCACCCTCATGTAGCCCTTGCCACACGCGTATATTTTCATGAGCACCCCTCAGGTGAGCGAGTTGCGCGCTCTCGTGCGCTCTCCCTGCTAAATATAGCAATTTCTGAAAGTGGCAGTAGCAAAAAACAATTCATTGATGAGCCGCGCGCTGAGCGGATTTGCTAAGGGAGAAGGTGTGAGAGAGTGAGAGAAAGTACTGAAATAACAGTATTATAAAAGCATGATGGCAAAAATACTGTTAAATTTAATAAAGTTGAATTAGAAAACAAAAAAAAAATTTTTTTTTGGTTGAGAAAGAGACTATTTGGTACTAAAATTTTTTGGAGAGGTCGATCCTAAGATCTCTTACAACGGCAATCCGTTCCGGATACATAAGACAAAGTGTTTCGAGCCTATCACAATTTTTTTGAGTTTCAGTTATGATGGCTATTGGGCAATGTTCAGTAAGAACTCATGCGGTTGCGGCAGAATGAACTTTACTCAGCGCAAATAGTTCAGTATACTCGTATCTCCTGCGCTCTACTCTGGGCCCAAAGGATCTCGCCATCGCTCGTCGATCAGCGCCTGCTAAGTACACGCCAGCTCCATTAGTTCAGTGCTGGAATGCGACACTAATGAAGATCCAAATCGATCCCATTCCGATGAAAGTGGGTCAAGGTCTTCGGATGACATTTGCAGTTTCCAACGATTCTGCTATGATCAAGCATCCAAATAAGTCTGATGATGAATTTGCTTGATGCTATTTCAAGTGAAGACAGACATTCCTTGACTAGCTTTGAGCGCACAGCTATCGCGATCAGCACTAGTATTACAGCTCTACTGTCGGTATGACTGCTTGATCTCTAAACGGGTTCGTAGCTGTATGTCTACTACCAATTTGATAGCAGTCACTTCTGCCTTAAAAAAACTAAAGTATTCTGGTAACCTAAAGCTAATATTGACGGAGAGCTCCTTACAGAAAACGCGCCCTACAATCTTCCCTTCTTGTTTCCATGCGTGAAAAAGTTCACTGCGTCTTTTCCAGAGATTTCTGTCCATCCACATATCTCTTGTCGGTATGACTGCAGAGAAAAAGTCACCGCATGTAATCTCTGCGACGCAGTGATCCAAGGTTTCAGTGATGCAGTTGAAGAACAAGAGAATTTCAGCATATTCTTGTTGCTATACGGAAGTGCTACCCTTGGTGCAGTTCGCAGTTGCATACCAGAGCCTCTCTTTGGACACGTGTAGTATTTTCGAGCACTAAATGAATACACCAGAACACCGGTTTCGTAGAGCCAATATACTGATTTTATTTTCTACTCCGCACTTTTTCCTTACAGCTCCTCTACAGCAATATAAAATAACCAATTTATCGGTTACTTTCTTCAAGATTTGGCCACAATGAAAGCAGTTTATCATTTATAAGTCCGGTCATTGATATAGTAATTATTATATGCGTTTATCTGCACAATTTTCTCTAAATCAATTGTAATCCATGCGAAGACTTTCTTATGTCCTGCCCCTCTGTCTCTGCTCAAAGGAAAAGAATTTCGAGACAGCGAAAATTGGTAAATGGAAAAGGAGTGCAGACGCTTGAAAATGGACCGTTTGTATTGTCTAGTACTGGAAAGAAGACAAAGGAAAATATGACAGCATAGAAGGTACAAGATACACCATGTGTATATCATAAGATCTTATGCTGTTTATTTAGCAATTTTTGAACAAAGCTCAAATGATACTTGGAAATCAGGTATTGTGTTGGTTGGCACACGAAACTTGATTTTTCCTGGTGATCTAGTCTACTTCAAGGCCCTAGATTTACAAAGTTGCAGTAGTATAGGATCCGACCGTCATTTAAACAGTATAATGGTCCTCACTGGATTCTTTCTCATACGGGTTAGTTCAAACCCTGTTTCTTCCTTCTGTAGATTTCTGCTGAAGAAACAGTGTAAGAAAAGTGGTCGAGCAACCTTGAATTTTTACTCTCCGCTTTTAGTTGTATCTTAAAAGTCATACTAACTAACGTAAGCGCTGCATTTTCATCAACTATTTCATAAACAGCAACCTTCCCCTTTAACTGTAAATGTCAATTAAGTTTGCCAGAGTAAATAAAATTACAATTAAACAGCGCATCAAAAGTAATTTGCGCTTAAAAGGGCTTTAAAAGCAAACAATAAACAAAGTCACTATGCACACCTACAACCACACGTGACATTTCCCCGCCCCGCCACCTTTTAGTGGCGCTGCTGAGTTACCGAAGCATGGACTGTTGGCGGCAATTACCGAAAAAAGCCTTGACTCGTGCTTAGCGCTGCCGTCTTACGCTGAAAGATATTTATTACATTTGTGCGCCGGTGTAACGGGTCAGACTTCCTCATGTGTCACCTCAATGGCAGTCGTGCCATTTTATTGTCACCTGCTGGTGCTGCTGTCGCTGCTGACGACAACAACAAGCGCGCTAAGACACACAAACCTACATGTCTCATTTGCCTTAACGGTACAGTGCATTAGCTGTGACTACGCAAGTGTGTGTTAGTGTGTTTGTAGTGCAAATGAAATCAAAAACAACAACAATACAAACGACAACATCGAATGCAAAAAACTATGCATATTTACTGTTGTTGTTGTTTGTGGCTTCGGCTTCGGTTTGTGTGACAAATAGTGGCAAACCGCAAAAGGTGGCAATGCTTGTATTTTCCTTCTTCGTGCGTGTGTGTGTGTGCGTACGCGTGAAGCAAACGAATATATTTGTTTACTAGTAGTGAGTATTTTGGTGACAATGCTTCACTTTAAGCTTTCGGTTAGTAGAATTTCCTCTTTACCACGCCGTCTTACACAAAAGATCCAAAAGGCGACAGAAACATATGCTTACGTGAGTGTGTGTGTGTGTGTGTACGTGCGTTTACTGCTGCTCGTCAAAGGGAAATGCATAATTAGTTGCCTGACAGCGCATTAATGAATGAAAGCAGTTTTAATCAGCAAAGAAAATAAAAAATATTGTAGGACTTTTCATCTAGCACTAGTGCTGTAACTAGTTCATTAGTAACTAGAACTAATGAAATGAAAAACATTTTACGTTTACCATCCAAAGTGAATTATTAAAGATAGCGACTAGCTCTATAACTAGTTCATTAGTAACCAGTTTCAGAATACTTTCTTTGCTATGAAATGCATTAACATTAAACAGGCAAAGTTAATGAATAAAAAAAGTGTATTTTTCATTCAGAAAATCATATTTTTCTTCGACAAATAGAACCATTTTATCTTCAACTCATCGCCGAACCAGCATTATAATTGAGCAGAGTAGAACCCTGTGACGGCTTAGCCTTTATAAGGTGTTGTTGAATCCGAGAAAACGGTGGTAATCAACTTTCCTCCATCTTTGGAGCTGATTCATGGGGTTAAGTCCGCTGCTTCGACTATACAAAGATCTCTGGTGTATACTAAATTCTTCGAATTGCAGAATGTGGCTTACGAGATCAAGTACTGATGGGATTGCCACCAGAAACATACATATGTACATACATATTTATATGTATATATGACAATATCTTCCTAGGGACACTCTCTAGCCATGTTGAGAAATCTACAGAAAATATTGTAGCTTTAAGAATTCACCGTAACTAAACCTGTGGCCAAGCGTCCGATAACATATATAAAACTTGTATGTATACCTTAGACATACATATAGTCAGCCTCATACACAACTGTAAATATGAGCCCATATTTACACA